TGTGTATTACAGTGTAATTCTAATTAATACAGCTAGACCAGCCCAACTCCAATATGCTTGGATTGTGATTCAAGCTGCACAACATGTTCTGGACCTAATAAAACAAATTGTTTGTCATGTAGTGGATCAACATTCTTAGATTCTACAACAAATTCATGTGTAGCAAATTGTCCTAATGGCACTTATTAAAATACAAATAATAACCAATGTACACCTTGCGATCCTACATGCACCACATGCAATGGTTCCAGTAGTAACCAATGTCTGACTTGTACTCTACCAAAGTACTATCAATAAACAACAGGATAATGTGTAACTACATGCAATACAAATTAGTACCAAGACGATTCATCAGCTACTTGCTAAAATTGTAGCTCAAGCTGTTCAAGTTGCTCTGGAGGAGCTTAAAATAACTGCTTAAGCTGTAGTGGTTCTCTTTTTTTAGATTTGAATACAAATACATGTGTGTCAAATTGTCCACTTTCTTACTACTAAAATTTAGTAAATAATCAGTGCTCAATATGTAATAGCTCATGTGCAACGTGCAATGGAGGATCAATCAACAATTGTTTATCTTGTAAGCTCCCTCTTTATTTTGAACCATCAACAAATACCTGTGTTAGTTCTTGCTCTAACGGGGAATATATGGACATATAAAGTGATACTTGTTAGAAATGCCACTCAACTTGTTCAACATGCACAATTGGAGGGGTCAATGGATGTTCTTCATGCATTTTACCTTTGTATTACTAAGCATCAAGTAGTTCTTGCGTTTAAAGTTGCTAACCTAGCCAGTATTAAGATAATTCAACTGCTACTTGTAGTTCTTGTGATAGTAGTTGTGCATCATGCTCTGGTCCTGGTAAAAATGAGTGCTTATCATGTAGTGGATCTCTCTACTTTGATAGCACTACTAAAAAATGTGTAAATATATGTCCAGATTCGTATTTCGCAGACATAAGCACAAATATTTGTAAATAGTGTGATTCTAGTTGTAAAACATGCTATGGCAATTTGAACACAAACTGTTAATCTTGTATTCTTCCATTATATCTTAATCCAGTTAATTAAAAATGCGTTTCAGTTTGCGATCAAAATCAATATAAAGATAATACAAGTGCATAATGTCTTTCTTGTGACTCTTCTTGTGAAACTTGTTTTGGAGGTCTAAATTCTTAATGCCTTTCTTGCTCATCTAATCTTTATCTAAATGAAAATATGTGCATAAGCAATTGTCCTGATGGATATTATTAAAATAAATAGAATAATACATGTTCGAAGTGTGATCCTAGTTGTTTAACCTGTTCAGGAAGTTCCCCAAATAATTGTTTAAAATGTTCCTTGCCGAGATATTTCTAATAAACAACAAATTCATGCTAAAATACATGTAACCTAAATTAATACCCTGATAATTCTGATGCAACTTGTAAATCTTGTGATTCTTCTTGCTCATCTTGCATTGGTCCTTCAAGCAATTAATGCTAAGCATGCTAAGGATCGAAGTAAACAAATGAAATTTTTTTTTTCTATCATAATTAATTTTTAAAATAGGTTCTTATATCAAAATTAATGTGTTAGCATATGTCCTGATGGCTTTTATTAAGATTTCACAAATAATAAATGCTCTTAATGTAGTTCCACTTGCAAAACTTGCACTTCTGTTGATATCTGTTCAAGTTGTCAGTCACCCTTAATAAATTACAATAATTCTTGTGTCTAAACTTGTCCGTCAGGATATTATTCTTAAATTACATCAAATCAATGCTAACCCTGCTTTAGCACATGCTAACGCTGCAGTGGACCATCATCAAATGAGTGTTTAGCATGTCCTAAAGGTAAAAATTTTAATAATTCTTGATATTATTATATTTAACTTAAATAATTTCTTGCTTTAAAAAGGCACATTTTTGAAAGGATCTACTTGTGTCAATTAATGTGGAGAGGGTTACTATTTAAGCTAAGATAAATGCTCTTAATGCCATCCTTCGTGTAAAAATTGTTTAGGAGAAAATTAAGATTAAGTAAAATTTTTTTTTAATAAAATAAAATTTATCATGTTTAATAATTTAAAATTTTAAAATAAAAAGTGCACAGAATGTCCAGATATACTATTTAAATATAATTCAAAATGCTTAAGTGATTGTCCGAAAGGCACCTATTTATTATAGACTTCCTAAAAATAATGTTTTTAATGTAATAATTCTTGTTCTTCAGGCTGTGATGGGCCATCAGAAAAAAATTGCACTAGTTTAAAACCATAAAACTAAATAATAGTGTATATTCTAACTGCAAAAACAGTAATTTGGGTGATATCATCTATTGTAGGAGTAATTTAAGATTAAAAGAACAAAAAAGCATAAAACTTAACTGTGGTACCATCTAGTTTTGTAGATAAGTAACTTGATTTTGTAGAAAATGATTCCCCAATTAGAAGAAAGAAAAAAAAAATATTTCCTGATATACGCACTCAAAATATAGATTCTCCTGTCCAAAATACAAAATAATATGGTGCAAATGAACAACTTCCTTCATTCAACTAAAATGAAGGATTTAATTCTTAGTTTGAGTCCTAATAAGCTTAGTTAGCAGTCAATACAGATTTATAAAACTAAGAAGAAAAAAGTCCAAAAAATGCATATAATAGAAGAAGACCAAGAAAATCTTAATATATTTTAAATTTAAATTTAAAAAAACAATCTTAGTTTAGTTTGAATGCCTTATCTTCCTAAGTAAATATAATTGACTCATCTCCAATTACAACTAAAAGATAATTTCAGGATTAATCTGTAGCGACTTCTACTATTTCTCCATTTAGCTAACAAAGCAGAAATTTTGATAAACAAGATAATTCACAACTTTAAAAATATGAAGCAAACTAGAAACTTAAATATTCATTCGTAATTTTTAAACATAAATTTAAAATAAGTTAAAAACATATATTATTAATAAAATAGCTTGGAAATGAATGGATTGAGCTTTTTGCCTTTTATGATCCGTATGTAAAGAGAGCTTGTAGAATAACTCTAATTTACCTAAAATATCATATGTTTTTCTTTATCTGCGAATATTTTAAATATGTAATCTTATTTTAATAATTATCAAATTAATAGCTAATTATTTTATTATATTAAATAAGTCTCCTGAATATTACTTATCTGTTTGCCTAGCTTCAGGTCTGACGATGAAACTCATAATTGAAAAAATTCTATTTTGTATGACTAAATACACAAGCTTTGGCAATTTTTTATCTATGATTCTTTTTTTAGGAGCATTAAGTGCTGATTTCTGGTTTTGGTTTATTCCTAAAATCTAGTCAGTAAATTATAGCATGGATTACAGTTGGAGCTTTTAATATCTCATAACATTTTCAGCTGATTTTTTAATTTTATAGCAGCTACTAGGTCTTTTAAAATACTTAAGCACTGTTAAATTTTTGAATTTGTAAAATCCAAACAGTATTGCAAAAGGATTAAAAAATGAATATTTTGTAAAAAATATAAAAAAGTGAATTTGAATAAAAATAAATTCATCAAAATTTGAAAAAATGTTAAAAATAACTTTGTAAATAATTTAATGAATATGTGTTTTATGAGTAATATTTCTAAATCTCTTATTCATTTTATTAGGAAATTATATTTTATTTTTTATTTAATGAATTTTTTCAAAAAAGAGCATTGAATAGAAACACTCATTTATTTGTAAATTTAGTATATTATTTAGGTTGAAATATGATTAATAATATTCAAATTAAATTTATGGATATTAATTTGTTAATTGAATAATATGGCTAAGTAAAAACAAATAGGCTAGCAAATTCCTATTGAATTAAAATATAAACTTTTAATTAGATTATAAGAAGTATGAAGTATGAATTTTGATTTTTAATTGAAATTAAATAATAATCTCTAGTAATCTAAATGTACAACCATTCGCTCATTCACTCACTATTTAATTACCAAAATAATAAACAAGAGTATCTTAAAAATAATAAAAGTATGGATTTTAAGAATGTAAAATATGTAAAATTTATAAAGCTTTTACCGATACTAAATTAAATTCAAAAAATAATGCTTGCTAATTTATGGTAAAGCAAGCAAAAATTGTATCAAAAAAAAGGAAAAAAGCAAAATGAATTAATTAAAAAGATATTGATTGAGTAGCTTAATACTTTTATGTTGAATGATGAAAGTTTAATAATTAATATTTCTTTAACAAGCATAAATATACTAAAAAGCTAACATTTTTTATTTTTTAGATTAAGCAATTATATTAAAAAAGTGTTTAAACGAAATTTAATAAGTAAGAAAAGATATTTTACATTTGAGATATTTTAAAAATAGAATAATAGTAATCTTAAACAAGTGTAATAAAATAAAATAATTAATAAATTAACCAGAATATTTTATCATTTGATTTTACAAAATTTAAAAAAATTTAACAAATATGACGCTTGCATTTTACCTAATGTAATATTTAAAATTTAATTCAAAAATCACGAATCACACCTTTATTAAAATTAATACATTTACTGTTTTGTAGAATGACTCTTTATAAGCTTACTTTATTAAAAATTGTATTTCACCACAAAATTTTATTTATTAAAAGAGTAAATTAAAATTTTCTCTTCTTCTTTAATATTGGATATCATCAAAATGTAATTAATATCATTTGAATTCTATAAAATTGTTTTTAATCTATCTATACTCATTGGTACTAATTTACACCAATTGGTGTTGCAGTAGTTTATTTTCTATTTTTAAATCTAAATTTGAGTTTCTAAAATTCGATATAATTTATTTATAATATCCATTTAATAACATTTTGCTATCCCTAATTATTTAAAAGAAAATATTTAGTTTGATATTTTTTGCTGAATATTAACTAGCTAACTACCTACATATCTATCAACATACTAAATGAGTGCTTTTAAAAATCACATATTTCTATTTTTTTTTTCAATCCTTCTAACACTCACAAGATAAGGTAAATTTTAATTTAAAATGCTATTTTATTCTAAATAATTAATAATCCTTAAAGTTGAGTTCTTGGTTTCATAGGATTTCACTGATCCTACTTAAAGCTCAGCTACTGGCTGGTCCTAAAATACAATTGCTACATGTAATACATAGTCTGATTTCATTGATTGGGCTGGAAATCAAAATTTAAATGGTATACTTTAAGAAAATTCATAGTAAAAAACTTATTCCTCTCTTCCACCTCATTGGAGCCTTTCTTTAAGATTTGATCTTTTGTTATATGGTGATGTTGATTAAACCAAAGGAGATTAAATTTAAATTTTTATTGACGGAAATCTATAAGATACTTATACAAAAAATAATAAAGGAGATGGCATTGTAATTTGCTATAAGATTGTGTTTTTCATTTAGTGCGTTGACGAGCTTATCTTATATCATAAAAATATTACTCATAGTTCATCATCTGTTATTATTCAAATCTTACCATAATCTCCATCTGGTAAACTAAATAAAGGATTTGGTTTTAAAAATTATTACTTATATGTTGACACTTGCGATTATAGTTGTGCCACTTGCAATGGTCCTACTAGTGTAACTCTACATTGTTTATTTCACATTAGTTTTATTTCATTTTTAACCAAAAAATAAAATATATAGCCATACAAATTAATTTCACTCTACTCATAATCCAAAATTTTAAATGAATATTTCAAAGTTTTAATTACAAAAACCATTAATTTAAATATTGCTAAAAATTTTAAAGCCTCTTTTGAAGTTTTATGGTAGTTTAGAATTTATAAAAATGATATCAAATAAGTTTTTAAGAAATAAATCTTAACCGTTTTTTTTAATTAAATTTAGAATTAATGTTTAACCTGTCCAGCTAATTCATTAAAAAGTGGTAGCTCTTGTACTTGTGTCAGCGGGTACATTTAACATAAGTATGTTTGTGTTACAAGCTGTCCAGCAGGTTTTACTAAAAGTTAAACAGAAAATAAATGCATTTCAGATTTTTCAATTAATTGCTTAACTTATAATTCGTCAACTCAACTTTGTTCATAATGTAAACCAGGCTATTATATATATTAAGGTTAATGTGTAAATGTTTGTCCATAAACTTCCTCACTAAATTCAGGCACTTGTGTAGATTTTTCAACTACATTGATAAGTAAATTTTTTCATTTTAATATTTGGAAATATCAAATTAGCATTTTTTAATCATTAAATAGTTTTAATTTAAATAAAATCGAAATAAAAATTTTTTCTTCAAATCTATTTTCTAAAACAAACATTATTATATAGATGGATAATATCTGCTAAATGGTTTATTTAATTAATACTTTGGATAAAGTGAAATTACAGGTTTGGGGCTTTCTGTGAGTAACTTTAAAGGATTCATGTCTAGCTTTGGCTAAAGTGGAGCTTTAACTACGAATTGTGGTTCTAATCATTTATTAGGAGGATTTTGGCTTTCTGGGTCAGGTTCCAGCATTAGTAGGTCTTGGACAGGATTGTAAATAAATATTTGTCAATTTATTTAATTAAATTGCATTTTTTAAATGTATTAGAGCTCCTCATTGGTCTATTAGAATAGGCTTTACAGTATGGAAAATTGATCAATGGAATAATGAAAATTTTTTTGTCTCTGTTGATGGATAAAATAAAAAAACTATTTAATTTTCAGTAGGTAGTGGTAATAATAACATTTGCGGTTTTGGAACTAATAATAATGATCAAAATTTATAATAAATTGTTAATATTACTCATACTTCAAGCAGCTTTAATTTAAAATTTTATACTGATTTGGTTTCAGATGTGAAGACAGAGTCTTTTGGTATTAGCAACCTTTATGTACTTGTTGACTTTGTAATTATTTTATTAGTGCTCTGCTTTCATGCTATTTTTATTTAAATTATTTTTCAATATTAACAGTGTTCTTCTAATTGTCTTATTTGTAGCGCTTAAGGTTGTTTGACTTGCCAAGCCTCATATTTCTTATATAAATCAGCATGTGTTTAAACTTGTCCAACTAATACTTATTTAAGTAATTCAACAACATGCACAGACTGTAACAGTAACTGTAAAACATGTAGCAACTCAGGTATTTATTGTTTTTGTTTTAAGACTAAAATTAATATTGGGTTTTTTTTTTAATAATAAGTGATATTTTTTATAAAAAAGCAACATTTTGTACTTCATGTAACTCTCCTAACTATTTAATTTAATTAAATGGTAGTTGTGTATCTAGTTGTCCTTAAGCCTAATGGCCAAGAGTTAGTGATGGAACTTGCTAATAGTGTGATTAATCTTGTTATACATGTACGAGTCCAGGTAAAAAACAATATCATAATTTTTACAATTCAAAACATTTCTTTCATTAATTAGGAAATTAAACTTCTTGTACTAGTTGTAGCGGAACTAATTATCTTTATAATAAATAATGTATTTCTATTTGTCCAAGTGGTACTTATGCTAATACAGGTAATTTCTAGATACTTTTGTTCATAAAAATATTATTTTTTTCTTTTATTAAAAATTGCAAAGCTTAATTTTAACAATTAAAATATTAGCTACAAATAATAATCAATGTTTACCATGTAATTCTAATTGCTCTACATGCAATGGACCAAATTCGAATAATTGTACAAGTTGTCCTTTGTCTTTTTATTTGTAATCTTCGACTTCGACATGCGTTTCAAGCTGCAACTCTAACTAATATGCAGATAATAGCTTATCAAAGTGTATTAATTGTAATTTAACATGCACCACATGCTCAGGAAGTTCAAATAATTGTTAAAGCTGTTCAGGGTTTTTATTTTTAAGCACTTCAGGAAACACTTGCACAATCAATTGTTTAAGTAGTGAATTTAAAAATACAGCGAATAATAAATGTGAACCTTGTCATCCATCATGTAATACTTGTTCAGGATCTAGCAGCAGCAATTGTTTATCTTGTTAAGGATCTTTGTATTTTAATTCTGTAACTAAAACTTGTTAATCGACATGTCCTGATGGTACTTATCCAAATTCTAATGGTAATGTTTGTTCTTAATGTGACACAACATGCCTTACTTGTAACGGTGGAACAAGCTCTAATTGCTTATCTTGCACTTTTCCATCAAGATATTTTTAGCCACTTACATCTCAATGTGTTACTTAATGCAACACTAACTAGTATGCAAAAAGTACATCACCACCAACTTGTTAAAATTGTGATCCTACATGTAAAACTTGCTCTGGTACAGCTCCTAACAACTGTTTAAGCTGTTCAGGAAATTTTTATTTAAGTACTTCAGGAAATATATGCACAACATAATGTTAGAACCACGAGTTTTAAAATTCAGCTAATAATAAATGTACAACTTGCGATTCAAGTTGTTTTACTTGCTCTGGAAGCTAGCCAAACAACTGTCTCTCATGCTAAAGTCCTAGTTTTTTCTAACCTTCATCTAAAACATGTGTTTTGCAGTGCAATACAAATCAATATAGCTTAATCAGCCCAACCCCAGTGTGTTTAGATTGTGATCCAAGCTGTGCAACATGTTCTGGACCTACTTAAACAAATTGTTTATCATGCCATGGATCGAATTTCTTAGATTCTACCACAAAATCATGCGTGACAACTTGTCCAAACGGCACTTATTTAAATGCAAGTATTAATCAATGTACACCTTGCGATCCAACCTGTACTACATGTAATGGTCCAAGTAACACCTAGTGCATGTCTTGTACTCTACCAAAATACTATCAATAAACATCAGGATAATGTGTAATTACATGTAATATAAATTAGTACCAAGACAGTTCATCAGCAACATGTATTAATTGCAACTCAAGCTGTGCAAGCTGTTCTGGAGGAGGTTAAAATAACTGCTTGAGTTGTAGTGGTTCTCTTTTTTTAGATTTAAATACAAATACATGTGTTTCAAATTGTCCACTCTCTTATTATTAAAACTCATTAAATAATCAATGCTCAAAATGTAATAGTTCATGCTCAACATGCAATGGAGGGTAAATAAATAATTGTTTGTCTTGTAATCTCCCTCTTTTATTTGATTTAGCCTCAAATACTTGTACTAGTTCTTGCTCAAATGGATAATATATGGATCTTTTATTGGGAACTTGCTAGGCTTGCGATTAAACTTGTACTACCTGTACAAACGGAGGGGTATAAGGGTGTTCTTCATGTGCTTTACCTTTGTATTATGAAGTATCAAGTAGCTCTTGTGTTTAGAGTTGCTAATCTAACCAGTATTAAGATAATTCAACTGCTACTTGCAGTTCTTGTGATAGTAGTTGTGCGTCATGCTCTGGTCCTAGTAAAAATGAGTGCTTATCATGTAGTGGATCGCTTTACTTTGATGGAAATACAAAGTAGTGTGTAAGTACCTGTCCTGATTCATACTTTGCTGATTTAAGTAGTAATACTTGCAAACAGTGTGATCCAAGTTGTAAAACATGTAACGGTAGTTTAAGCACAAACTGTGAATCATGTACACTTCCTTTATATTATAATTCAATTAATAAAAAATGTGTTGCCAACTGTGATTAAAACTAGTATAAAGATAGCACAACAGTTTAGTGTCTTGACTGTGATTCTTCTTGCTAATCATGCTCTGGACCACAAAATACATAATGCCTTTCATGCTCTTAGAGCCTTTATTTAGATTAAAATATGTGCAAAAGCAACTGTCAAGATGGATATTATTAAAATACTTAGAATAATACATGCTCAAAATGTGATGCAAGTTGTTCAACTTGTTCAGGAAGCTCTCCAACAAATTGCTTAAAATGTGCATTACCTCGGTACTTCTAATAAGCAACAAATACTTGTGAAGAAAACTGTTAACAAAATCAATTTCTAGATAATACTGATGCGACTTGCGAACCATGCCATTTTTCTTGCTCATCTTGCAGCGGCCCAACAAATAATTAATGCTAATCATGCTCAGGATCAATGTATATATATATTTTTTTCTAATTAAAATAATTTTTTAATTTAAAAAAAGGTTTTTATATCAAAATCAATGTGCTAGCACATGTCCTGATGGTTATTTTTAAGATATACAGAATAATAAATGCTCTTTATGTAATTCTTCTTGCAAAACATGCAATTCTGTTAATTTTTGTTTAAGTTGCTAACCACCGTTAATTAATTATAAAAATTATTGTATCTAAACTTGTCCTTCAGGGTTTTACACTGATACGTCTACAAATTAATGCTAACCCTGTTATAGTTCATGCTAAAGTTGCAGTGGCCCATCAGCTAATGAGTGTTTAGAGTGTTCATCAGGTAAAAAATTCATATATTTTAATACAAAATTTAACTTAATAAAACCCTATGTTAATTATAAAAAGGCACATATTTCAAAGAATAAGCTTGTGTAGATAAATGTGGAGATGGTTATTTTATAAATTAAGACAAATGTTCCAAATGTCACCCTTCATGTAAAAATTGCTAAGGAGATAATATAGATTAAGTAAAAAATAGTTCAATAAATTAAAAACTTTTTGAATTTAATATGCTTTTAATTAATTAATAATTTAAATTAAAATAGTGCACTGAATGTCAAAATTTATTGATTAAATATAATTCAAAGTGCTTAAGTGATTGTCCTTAAGGGACCTATTTGATGCAAAATACTTAAAAGTAATGCCTTTCTTGCAATAATTCTTGTTTATCTAATTGCAGTGGGCCATCAGAAAGTGATTGTACTAGCCTTAGGCCTAAAAAATAAATTATTGTTTACATTTTATTTGCAAAAACACTTATATGGATAATATCTTCTATAATTGGTATAATCCAAGATTAAAAAAACAAAAAAGCTTAAAATTTAACAGTAGTACCATCAAACTTAATAGAAAAATAATTAAATTTTGAAAGAAATGACTCACCAGTAAGAAAAAAATTGAAAAAAGTTCCCTATGATGGATAGAATCAATTAGAAGCACTGAAAGATTCAGATACAGATAAAATAAAATAATAAGGCATGAATGAAAAGGAATAACTTCCTACATTCAACTAAAATGAAAGATTTCCAGTTTAATTCGATAATTAATTTGATTTGTAAGCAGAAAGTAATCACGTAAATGCAAAGTCAGAAGTAAATTAATAAAATTAAGAAGAATATAGTCCAAAAGGCTACAATAGAAGAAGGCCAAGAAAAACTTAATTTATTTTAAAGGCAAATATAATTAAATCATCTTAACTCAGCATGAATGCTCTTTCATCATAAGTTAATATTATAGAATCATCTCCTATTACAAGTAAAAGATAATTGCAAGATCAATCAGAAGTTGCATCTACTGTCGCACCATATAATTAATTTGCTAATAAAGCAGATAAATTGCCAATCTCAAAATATCAACCTAATTAGAAACTAAAATACTCAATAGTAAATTTTTTTAACAAATTTTGATATTAAAACTTTTAATAAATTTAGCTTGGAAATGAATGGGTTGAACTTTTTACATTTTATGATCCTAATTTAAAGAGAATTTGCAGGATAACTCTTATTTACCTAAAATATCACATGTTTTTCTTCATCTGCGAATATTTCAAATTTGTAAAAATATTTAATTAAAAATAATTTTCTATTTATAATTACTTTAAAAACAAACATTAGTCACCAAAGTATTACATTTCTGCTTGCCTTGCTTCTGGTTTATGTTTGAAGCTTGTTTTTGAAAAAATACTGCTTTTGATTACTAAATAGACAAGCTTTGGTAATTTATTATCTATGATTATTTTTCTGGGAGCCTTAGGTGCTGATTTTTGGTTTTGGTTTATTCCAAAAATTTTCTAAGTTAATTATAGCATGGATCACAGTTGGAGCTTTCAATATCTCATAACTTTTACAGCTGATTTTTTAATTTTGCAGTAGCTATTAGGTCTTTTTAAATATTTGAGTACTGTTAAATTTTTGAATACTCTAAATCCAAACAGCATAACAAACGGATTAAAAAATAAATATTTTATTAATAAAATAAAAAGCTGAATCAATATTTATTAAATAAAAAATAGAAAAGAAGAAATTAAATATCAAAATAAATATATTTAATCCTAAATTAAAAATATATCTAAATGTGTTGTTACAGATGGCAATATTTTATCTAATTTTTGTATTTTTTAAATTTTTCATTCTTCTTATCATATTTTAACAAATTTGTTTATATATATTGTATTTTCACAATTTTTTGTGTAAAAAAAATTTATTAATACATTTACTAAAATATTTTAACAAATGTAATAGTAAAAAATTTAGGAGAATAGGGATCTGTTTTTATTATTAAGTAACTACAGTTTATAATTTTAAATATTAAATTAAATGTATAATTGATTTTATAATATTTTTACATTAATTAAGATGTCAAACACAGTCTAAAAAATTGTAAAAGATAGCTAAATTAATTGAATTTCAGATTTACCTCCTTATTCACCAGATATAAATCCAATAGAGAATCTTTGAAATTGGTTAAAGCTAAAAATTTAAGAAGATTTTCCAACATCTTAATCAAATTTAATAAAATCAATAAAAAAAAATTGGAAGTCAAAAGCTCCTACTAGTGTATTTCTTATATCAGAAGTTGGTAGAATAGATGCGATATTATCAAATATAAAGGAGAGAAAATAAATTATTGAGGGTTAATAAATATTTACATATTATTTTATCTATTTCCCAAATATAGTGGGGACCACTATATAAATATTTAAACAGTAAACATATTTTTAAATTGAAATGAATAAATTTTGATTCAAAAAATCACTTCAATTAAAGTCTATTATCTTACGCTTAAATGTGATTTATATAGTATATATACTTATCACTTATATATATCTCTTAATTTTCATGAGTAAATATTAGTTGTTGAAAATTATTTAAAGAAATTAATCAAAATGTAAAACAATATTAACATAATTGAAATTTAAGTATGTATAATTTATTGAACACATAAGAATAGTATATAATTTTTTTAAAGAATCATTTAATGCCATAAAATGAAATGAGTGATAAGTAAATAATTATGCATGCATCTACATCATTACCTTAGCTATTATTACGCAATCTAAATTATATTTTACCAGTATTAAGGATTAAAATTTGCTGTAAATTAATAATAAATATATTACAATTTTTGAAAACAAATAAGAAAAATTAATAATATCCCACAGCTAACAAATTTCACTATTATAATTAGTATTATAAAATAAGTTAATTAATAAATGAATATCTTTTTTATTGCTATTAAAAAAGTAAATAAAATATTTATAAAAGCAAATAAAAATATTTTCAAAAAGAAAACAAATAAAATAATTAATTTATAATTTTCATTTAAGTTGTAAATGTAAAATTTATGAGTATTTCACTTTGAAACTAAATTATTAAAACCCTAACGCATATCTAAATAATTTACAACAGACTTAGATTACGTAAGCACAGTAATATACTTAATAATCATAAAAAAATAATTAAATCTTTGAGTAGTTCAAAAAGAGATAAATAAATCAGTAATTAATGTTGACAGAATGTGCTATTTTTCAAAATATTATCATACGTAATAATTACTAGAAAATTAGCAAAGCATGTATCTTAATAAATACAAACAAATATTTTTTTAATAATATCTAATACGAAATTTTAAAAATAAATTTCAAATACAGATTGTTAGAAATTTAAACAACAATTGAATTTAAAGCGAAACAAAATCCTTCATTAATTGTTCAAGAGTTTATTTAAATGGTTTAAATATATAGTTATCTCCTTTAATCAATTTAGATTAATTTATTTCTAAGACACATTATTATTCTTAAATTTAAATATATTAGATAGTTAGTTAGTGTGTGATTGAATGACTTTGTAATTTTATAAAATTCTTCAATTTTTTTAAATGAGTAAATTTCCTAAAAGAGTTTTTACTTTAAATTAGTAAATGTGATATTTATACGTGACGCTAAATTTTGCTATTTTATCTTTCGTATTATCATCAGATAATCAAAGTATGACGCATATTAAGCTTCAAACTGTTTTAATTATATATTTCAAATAGATTACATTAGCTTAAAAGAAATTCAAAATCTCCACTAATTAGATACTTAATAAACTTAATTAATACCACTAAATAAAGAAAAAGATCCTATTTTTAATTAAGTTGAGATTATGCAAAACTTAAAATTTATAAATTAAGATAGTAATAAAGCTACTAATAATATAATGCGACATGCAAATTTATATATTAGCATTATTTGGCTAAATAATAACTTAATCTTAAATATTTTCAAAAATACTAAAAAATATAAAGAAAAAGCACAAAAACTTTTATTTGATAAAAATGACAGAAAATAAATAATTGCTAAAATTAGCACTAGTGCTTCAATTAATTTCATTTACCATTTAATGTAAGTAAATCTTATTATTTTAATTAATTAATATAGTACAATAAAAATAAAGCTGAGTATCTTGTTTCTCAAGAATTTACTAACCCTAATCAATCTACAGCAAACGGTTGGTCTATACCAAATGCTATCGGAAGTTGTGATGTTACTAACTTTGTAGACTGGAGTGGAAATTAAAATTATAATGGAATTCTTAAGCTAAATCTACAATCAAAGACCTATAATAATTTACCACCTCACTGGAGCCTTTCTATAAGATTTGATCTTGTGTTATATGGTCCTATTGATTAGAATCTTGGAGATTACATTTAAATATAATTAGATAGTGTTTAAGACACTATCTCTAAAGGTCCTTTTGATGGTTTAAACATTTGCTCAAATTTACTATTTAACTGGAACGATGAATTGATCTTATACTTTAAAAATGTTACTCACACTAGCAATTCTGTGACTGTATAATTAATTCCTCAAGAAGGCATTCTTAACTAAGCTTGGAAAGGGTTTCTCTTTAAAAACTACTACTTATATGTTGATACCTGTCATTATAGTTGTGCTACATGCAATGGTCCTTCAAGTGTAATATTTGAAATTTAGAATAAATTTTATATTTTTTATTTACATTTTAATTTTTTTCATTAAAAACTTCAAAAATAATTTTAAATTTAAAAATGTAAAATTAATATTTAAAATATTATTTTAAGAATTAATGTAAATCTTGTCCTTAAAATTCAATTATAAATGGAAACACATGCAAATGCAGTATTGGCTTTATATAACACTAATACTCCTGTGTTGCTACTTGTCCTTAGGGTTATGTCAAAAGTAATATAAGTAACATATGCATAAGCGACTATACCACAAACTGCAATGCCTCTGATTCTTAAAACCAAAATTGTACCTAATGCAAGTAGGGTTTTTATTTATCATAAGGATATTGTGTTACCTCTTGTCCTTAAACATCAACTTTAGTTTCTAATACATGCGTAGATTTCTCATCAACCCTGATCAGTAAAAATATATTTTATAAAATCATCAATCAAAATAAAATTTCCCTAAAATTAAAAAAATAATTTATCAATTTATCATCAAAAGACATTATTTAAATCAATATTTAATTAATTAATTTAAGTTTCTTTGAAAAAATTTTAAAATATTTTATTCATTCCATAGAAAACTTTTTATTTATTTAAAAATAAATATTTCAAATAACAATAAAACTTTTTAGTAATTAACTGAAATCAATTTGATATTTATATAAAATTTAATAAAAAAAAAACAATTATTTAATAAAATTCAATATAGATGGATAATATCTTCTGAGTGGCCTTTATAATGGATATTTTGGATAAAGTGAAATTACTGGAATGGGTTTAACAGTAAGTAATTTTAAAGGGTTAAAATCATAGTTTGGATAAAGTGGGGCACTAACTACAAACTGTGGAACCAATCATTTACTTGGAGGATTCTGGCTTTCAGGAAGTGGTGCAAGCATTACTAGAATATGGACAGGATTGTAATGATTAATTCAAAAATTTTATAGATTATTATTTATATTTCTCATTTTTCACTAGAGCACCTCATTGGTCAATTAGAATTGGATTTGTGATATGGAAAATTGATTAATGGAATAATGAGAGTTTTTAGTTAGCAGTTGATGGTACAATTAAATAATCATTTTAGTTTAATTCTAATAGCGGAAATAGCAATATTTGTGGATATGGAAGCTACAAAGATTTAAATCAGCCAGCTGTTGTTAACTTTACTCACTCTTCTAATCAATTAAACATTACTTTTTACTCTAATTTAGTCTCTAATGTCTAAACTGAGTCATTTGCTCTAAGTAACCTATATGTCCTAGTTGATTTTGTAATTTTTTAATTTTGTTTTATTATAATTAAATAAATAAAATTTTGTTCTTTTTTCAGTGATTCAATTTTTTTGCTTATTAAAAATAATTTTACTAATTTCTTTGTATTTAAAATTTGATTAAGAAAATAAAAGATTCTTTTTGACTTACAAGCTTTAAAAGCAAATTAAAACTATTTGAAATTAATATTTTTATGAAATTTATGAATTTAGTGTTCTTAGAATTGCATAAGTTGCAATGCATAAGGATGTTTAACTTGCCAAGCCTCTTATTTTTTGTATAATAATGTTTGCCTATCATCTTGCCCATCAAATACTTATTAAAACACTCCTTCGACTTGCAAAGATTGTGATTTTAGCTGCAAAACTTGTAGTACATCATGTATTTATTTATTTAATTCTTAATTTAAAAAATAATCTTAAAATTTTATTAATAAATTGTTAAAGCAACTTTTTGTACTTCTTGTAAAGCAAATTATTATTTGATATAGCAGAGTGGGTAATGTGTATCAACGTGTCCTGCTTAATATTGGCTAAGAACAAGTGATGGTACCTGCCAGTAATGCGATTCTTCTTGTTATACTTGTTAAAATCCAGGTTTATTATTTATACTTTAATTAAATTAAAATTCTTAATTATTTATTTTTAAAAGGAAATTCTTCTTCTTGCTTGAGTTGTAATGGTTAAACATATCTTTACAATAACCAGTGCATTTCTACTTGCCCTAGCAAAACTTATGCAAATTAGGGTATTTATTTATTTTCTAGTATTTTAATTTAGATGAATATTTTAAATTAATAGCCCTGAACAATAATTAATGTCTTCCCTGTAATACCTCATGCTTAACATGTAATGGTCCTAATTTAAATAATTGTCTTAGTTGTAGCTTACCTCTTTATTTTTAATCTACTTCAAATACCTGTGTCTCAACTTGTAATTCAGATTAGTATTAAGATAATGCTTAAATTAAATGCCTTAATTGTGATGCAACTTGCGCTACGTGTTCTGGGCCAAGCAAAAATAACTGCCTCTCATGCTCGGGATTTTTATATTACAATTCTAAAACAAATACTTGTGAATCTACTTGCCCTAATGGATCTTATGCAAATTAAGTTGGGAATATTTGCTCACCCTGCGATGTTACATGCAGCACTTGTAGCGGAGGAACAAGTTCGAATTGCTTATCTTGCAGTTACCCTTCCAGATATTTTTAAGCATAAACTAAATAGTGTGTCACGACTTGTAATACAAATTAATTTGCAAACAGTAATTTTCCACCTACTTGCTAAAACTGTGATTCTACTTGTGCTTCTTGCTCAGGTACTGCTTCTAATAATTGTTTAAGTTGTCAAGGTAATTTATTTTTGAGTACATCAGGAAATACTTGCCAAAATAGCTGCTAAATTGGTGAATATAAGAATACTACAAACAATAAATGTGAGGTTTGCGACTAAAGCTGTTTTACTTGTATCAGCCCAGGTAAATAAAAAAATATAAGATATATTAGGTATTAAGTTAATTTTATTTATCTTAAGGTAATATGAATTCATGCACTAGTTGCAATGGTTAAAAGTACCTCTACAATAACTAATGTTTACCTTCTTGTCCATCAGGAACCTATGCTAATTAATGTAAATTTAACTATTACTTTCAGTATTTTTAGTTTTAAACTTTTATACACCCAATTTATAAAACTCATTTTAATAATTTTTCAATAAGCAAATAATTAGTGCTCTCCTTGTAATTTAAGTTGTTCTACTTGCAATGGCCCAAATACAAATAACTGTTTAAGCTGTAGTGGGTCTTTGTTTTTAGACTAAACTACTAACACGTGTATTTCACAATGCCCAGATTCATTTTATGCTAATAAGGTAAATAACTAGTGTACTAAATGCAACAACACATGTGCAACATGCAATGGAGGAACTATCAATAATTGTCTAACATGCAATTCACCTCTCTTTTACTAAGCATCTACTTAATCTTGTAGTAGTTCATGTCCCAGTGGTTACTATACTGATTTGAATACAAATAAATGCTCTCAATGTGATTCTACATGTAGTACTTGTATAGGTGGGACAAATAATTAGTGTTCAACTTGTAATTTACCAAGATATTACCAAGCTAATACTTCAACTTGCGATTTGACTTGCTTGCCAAATCAGTTCAAAAATAACAACACCGCCACTTGTAGTTTTTGTGATCTCAGTTGTTCAACTTGTTCTGGTCCTAATAATAACTAATGCTTATCATGCACTGGATAACTTTATTTTGATAGTACAACAAATATGTGTGTATCTATTTGTCCCATTTCCTATTATGCTGACTTAAATACAAACACTTGTAAATAATGTGACTAAAGCTGTAAGACATGCAATGGCAATTCAAACTCTAATTGTCTTTCTTGCAGTTTACCTTTGTATTTTGATTCAGCTACTTCTAAGTGTGTTTCTAACTGCAATTAAAATTAGTATAAATCCGATAGTTCAGCTTCTTGTTTGAATTGTCATCCTACTTGTGAAACTTGTAATGGACCACTTAATAGCCAGTGTCTCTCTTGCCCAAGCAAAACTTATTTGTACTAAAAATAATGCTTTACTACTTGCCCAAGTGGATATTATTAAAATAATCAAACAAATTAATGTTAATAATGCGATTCAAGCTGCTTAACATGCTTTAATGGATCCTCAAAAAATTGTCTAACTTGTGCTTCTCCAAGATATTTCTAGCATGTATCAAATTCTTGTAATTTAACATGCAATTCTAATTAATATCCTAATAATTCTGATTTTACTTGCCAATCCTGCGACTAAAGCTGTGCATCATGCTCCGGACCATCAAGCGATCAATGCTAATCTTGTTCTGAAAATAAGTAAACACTAATATATTACTTTAAATATCTTAAAATCTAAAAATTCAATAGGAAATTTTTTAAATTTGAAAGGTGAAAATTTTAAATATTTTTAATGAATTAATTAATTAAATACATATAGATTTTTTTACTAAAACAAATGTTTGAGTTCTTGTCCTGATGGATTCTATAAAAGTTCTACAGATAACACTTGCGCTTAATGCAATAAATCATGTTCTACTTGCAGTTCTATTAGCTCATGTTCATCATGTTTATCTCCATTTATATTATTTAATAATTAATGCCTAAGTGAGTGTCCATAGGGATATTATTTTTCTAAAATTTCTAATTAGTGCGAAAGTTGTAGTAAATCATGCTAGACATGCAGTGGTCCTGATGAAAACTAATGTATCACTTGCATTTAAGGTTTTTATTTATTTTTAAATAATAAAAAAATTATTAATAATCAATTTACAAAAATAATTAGGAACAAATTTGTAAGGAACAATTTGCTTATCAACTTGCCTAGATGGATATTATTAAAATAATAGTTTGTGCATTAAGTGTAATTCTTCTTGCTTGACTTGTACTGGCCCAAATTAAGACTAAGTAAGAAATTTTAGATATTTAAACTGAATTAATTATTTTTAAATTAAAAGTGCGAAACATGTCAAAAAAATTAATTCTAATTTAAAAATCAATGCTTGAATGAATGTCCTTCTGGTACTTACTTAGAAAAAGATAATAAAAATAAATGTTAACTGTGCAATAGTTAATGCACTTCAAACTGCAGTGGACCTTCAGTGTAAGAGTGCTCAAATATTAAGCCTTTAAGTCAAATAATTGTTTACATACTTATTTCAAAGACAGTCCTTTGGGTATTTTCATCAATAATTGGTTTAGTGAAGGATAAAAATAACAAAGAGGGCTAGAATTTAAGAGTGACTCCTTCATCTTAAATATCTATTGGAAAGTGGGATTAATATGGTAATGAATCACCAATAATCTAAAAAAAATAAAGTTTATTTTCAAATGAAAATAATTAAAATGAAGATTAATCCTAAAAATAAGGAAATTAAATCATAGCTTCATCAATACAAAATATATAAAATGACTAATTCCAAAATTAAATTTCTAATTAGAATCTACCTAACTTTGAGAATCATGATTTTACAAGCAATCAGCAAGCAATTTAACAAACAATTACTTGTAAAAAGTATAACCGAAGGAGGCCGAGAAAAATCCATCTAATCTTATAATAAAACTTGAAAAATTCATCTGTATTTGGCGTAAATGGTTTTTACAATTATGCTAATAGCACTATTTAAACTGCTACAGAAAACAACATAAAAGAAAAATCGCAAATATATGACTAACAAGCCACTGTTCAGAATATTTCTCCTCTATCAAAATCTAAAATAAGTATTTTAGATAAAGAAAAAGATCCTATAAAATATGAAGCCAATTAAAAACTTAAGTTTAGTCTTGTAAGATAAAAATTTTCTAAAATTTGTTTAATTAAAATTTTAATTATTAATTTAGCTGGGAAACGAATGGGTAGAACTTTTTTCATTTTATGATCCTTTTTTAAATAGAGCAGTAAGAGCAACTCTAATTTACCTGAAATATCATATGTACATTTATTTGTGTGAGCTCTTCAAATTCGTAATATTTTAAAATTTAACAATTAATATAAATATTTAAATATTTCATAGTCTCCTCTATATTTTCTATTATTATTATCTCTGGCTTGCGGATTGGGATTAAAGTTCGTTCTCATAAAATCACTCTTTTACATAACAAAATATATTAAATTTGGAAATCTCTTATCATTTACTTTTTTCATCTTAGCAATAACTGCTGATTTATGGTTTTGGCTTATCCCAAAGATATCTAGAAACAACCATAAAACAGATATGAGTTGGAGCTCATAATACCTTATTACCTTTGCTGTAGATTTTCTTATATTTTAATAAGTGCTAGCTCTGCTTAAATACTTAAGCACAATCAATTTTTTAAATAATAATAATAATATACTCAAATTCTTAAACATATTCAAAAGTAATTACATATTAAACAAAATAAAAACATGATATATATGTCCTAATTTTTTAGTTTTTTTTGTGCATAAACTAGCTAAAAACTCATCAAATTTATTAATTATTTCATTCTTTAATACATTATTTGAGTTTATTTATTAATTAAGCAATTTGTAAACTATATAATTTTTTAATTATATTATTGTACATATGAACAACTTACTTTATACATTTTACAATCTAAAATATGATTTTTTATTTTATTTTTTTTTAGATTAATTAAATTTGAAAATTTATCAGAGAGGGAATTCATCGTCTTCTTCATCGTCAGTCATTTCTTCAATTTGTCCAGTATTTAATTAAGGTTATTGGGACTATTGTTGCTGTTGGCTTTGGAAATATTTTTATAAAGCTTCATCTCCATTTTCTTAATCTTTATGACCTGAAACAGAACTTACATCTTCTATCTCCTCTTCCTCCTCTTCTTCTTCATCGTTAATAAAATCATCGTCTTCATGATTGTTTTTAGATTTTTTATATTTAGAATCTGCCCACTAATTGTCTTTGTCATCAGAGTCAGCCTTTTGTCTGTTTGCACCAAATTAAAACTATTCATCATCTTCTTCGTCTTCTTCGATTAACTGATTTGCTTGGCTTTCTAAATAGATAAAATTGTTTTAAAAATTAATATTGGAAATTTTATATCTTACAAGTAACATTTTAAGCACTACCAATATGATTGTTATTATTATTATCTTTTTCATCATCACTAAATATATCATTAATTTGTTCTTCTGCTTCGTTATCTTCTTCCTGAGCAGCAGCAGTGACAATATTAGAAGACTTCTTTTCAGCAGATAACTGATTAAATACATTATTTTGCTTGCGACTTTCACGTAAATTGTAGCTTTTTGTAGGAACTTATTTATTAACGCTGCTCTTTTTATTAACTTCATCGTCATCATCGTCTTACAATTCTTCATCTTCATCTTCTAATTCCTCCTCCATATCAAAATCTCCATCATCTTCTTCATCATCATAGTCATTTTAACGATGACTTTTTTACTTAATAGATTTTTTTTTAGTTTCTTTTTGATTACCAAACTCTTCATCAACAATTTCTTAATCAATTTATTTCATCAATTTAATCTAATTTAAATTATTTATTTATTGAATTAATCTAAATAAAGTAATGAATAAAGTGTACTTATTCTTCATCAATTATATCCATCTTAACATAACGATCAAGCTCTATTTATTATCTGACATTATCTGCAAAAGCTAATTCTTTTTTTTCTTAGTCAAGTGAAATCTAAAATTCAACCTTCTAAAAATAAGTATTTTGAATTTAATCATTTTATGCTTGCTTAGGGAACAAAAGTAGAATATCATTTCCTTGCAATTTAGTAGAATGATCAGAATAGTTAAATACTGATTTATTTTTTAACTTAATTTAATTATGATTCAATTATTCTTCATCTGGCTTTTCCTATTATAAATATCAAATAATGTTTTAATATTCCAAAGGTAATCAAAAATAAGCTTTAATTACAATAACAACTTCCTCATCTTCTTAAAATAGTTCATTATATTAAGATTCTACTTCAATCATATCTTCTTCGAATAATGTTTTAGGTTTATATGGTTCTTCATCTTATAATTTTTGTACAAATAACCTAAAAACTTTCTAATTTTTATCTTAGAAAGAAATATCTTTGAACAAAGTACAAAATCTTCCTTTTGAGAAAGAATTTGTTAAGGATTCTACCTTCTACTTATGAGAAATAACACCTAACCTGTATCAATTAATCATAAAATTATAATTAACTAAATAATTTCAAAAGCTAAGTTTAAATTTTTCTCTTATTCACTCAAAAATAATGAATAAAAACTTAATTACTGTTTATCTTCATTAATAAACCATAAAAATTCTAAAAAAATATTTATTTGAGGTGAAAATAAAAAAAAGTTTATTAGACAAATTTTTAAAAGAAATTAGATATTATTTAAAGCAAAGTAAGTATATATGATCCGTTATTATATTTTATTGTATTAATTTTATTTATTTTTAAGTAAAATATTTTCTTATTGCAAGAATATTGCATGAAAAGATACTTTAAAACTTTCCTTATTATTATTTTTCCAAATATATTTTAAAAAAATAATGAATTAAATTTTATTTTTAAATATCTTTTATGTTAATTTATTTGTTATATCAAAAATTTCTGAAAATAAATTTACTTAAACAGAAGCAATAAAATAATTTTAAAGCAATTTTTAGAGAGAAATAGAATGAATTGCTAAAAGTAGAGTGATTTTATTTTAAATTATTTAATTATTACTTTAATGACTAATTTGCAAGGTTTGGTAGGATATTAAATACTTTTTTTATAGATCTGTTTGGATCAGAAGGATGTTTAATTTCTTCTAATTTGATATTGTTAGAGGTCACAAAGCTATGTTCGATTGCTAGTTTGACTTATTCAAATCCTTAGCTAAAATCAGTATCTTTATCTTTTGCTAATTCAGACTACTTTTGCAACATCTATTGCTTCATAAGGAACCTTTATTGTTCTTCTTTAATTCTTTGATCTAAGAGTTTTTATTCCTTTTGAGTCTTGAGAGTTTCTTCATCTTCTTCAGTATCACTTACAATAATATCTTCATTAATTAAAGCCAAATCATCTGGATGCAATTAATTGCTATTTGTATTGCCATTATCTCCTAAATGATGATTATCATTTCCTTCTTATAAATTATATATATGAGGTTTCATATTCAAATCGTCTATTGGAAGACCTAAATCGCAGTTAACAAATAAATTGCACATTCCCTTTACATCTGCATTTAACACTTTTGGACGAGTGTGTCTCTCTTAATCCAATTAGTAGTATAAAGTTTTAGGGAATGCATTTGGTGCAAAAGGAATTTCAATATCAAACTTAAAATTATGAATTAGACCTTTGTTCTCAGGGATATTTAATATTTTTCTATTTATTTAATAATAACATTCTTTTAATATGTCGCAAACTTCATTTAATTCATATTATATCAATGCTTTTTGCTCATTTTGAGATTTTTAAACAATGCTTTTTTGGCTTAATAAATTAGATCAAAAACAAAATTAATTTATTCATTTACTTTTTCTTTGGATCCATCTTTACTAAAATATGTTTATTTATTTGAATATATTTGGCTAAATATTTTTACTACTTTTCTTTCTATCTATCTATAAGTTAAAAGCTATGCCAATTTGAAAAGCTTTGCGATTTAGAGTGTTTTGCGGTTTCTAAGAATTATTCAAGTTTGTTTCTAATAAATTTGATACTACTAATGTAATTAACAAATTATTTATTTATTTATTATCTAAATTAAATGATAAGAAAAAATTTGCATTATACAAAGAAAGATATCTTCCATTCATACAATTTATTACAAACTAAATATAAAATAATAAATAAATAAATAAATAAACAAAAACTGTCTAATTAATTAATTTATGAGAATTTGTATAAAAAACACAGCACAAATTTATTCAATTCAAATTTTATTTCTAGTTTATATTTTTTAATTATCTATCTATTAACTAATAAAAATAACTAAATTGTTTAAAATTATGTTAAATAATTTATTTGAATATCTAATTTAAAAAGTTTTATAAGAAATTTAAATAAATTGTTAAAGATGCTTACAAAGTAGATCTTTGAAAAATTAGAATTAAAAATTAATATCTTAATTATTTATTTGTAGAAATATTTATTAGTCTAATTTTTTCAATTCTTTTAGATTGGTTTTAAATTAAACTTCTATGTAAATTTACTCCCATTTTTTTTGAAATGGGAAAGAATTCTATAACTTCTTTAAATTATTTTTTTTATTACAACTATTTATTATTAGCTCACTTATTTAGAGTAGATTTTAAATTAAATTCTATGGAAGTTTTAATCTTTGTTTAGAAAAGGAAAAAATGTATTTTATGAAATGAGTTATATTAAATGGATTAATGAGATTAAACTTAACAACTTTAAACTATAATTTTTATATAATATGAAATAGTTTATATATATACATGCGAGGTTAATTAGTATAATGATCTTAACAAAAAATAATCACCCTATGAATATGATTAACTAAGTATTTATTTAATTTTAAATAAATTAAATTAAAAGCTCTTTTTTATTTAGTACATTTTATTATTATTTTTTTAATTATAATTTTATAGATGTGGTTTTTTGGTGGTGGTTGAGAATGTATGTGTATTTATTTTGGTGAATTGAGATAACAAAATTTATTTTGAGGATTAATATAATTTAGATTTACAAATCAATTAATTCTATTTAGCTAGTTTTATAATTATTATTGCTGTTAATTTACTTTCTAGATATTATTAATATTAATGTTGTTTTAAAGTGGAGTTACTGAAGAACTTTTCATACTACCATATAATTACTATGAAGTCAATTGGATATGAGGAGCAGAAAATACATTTTATTATTAGCCCTATTGATTCTAATTAACAATCAAAGGAGAATTACTTCTTTTATGTTAAGAAGAAATTTGTTATTGTTATTACTACTGCTGTTACTAGTTGTAAAGAATTTAATTTATTTATTGTTGATTTTGTGAGGAGTTGTTAGAATTTCTACCACTTGCCAATAAGCTTGGTTTTTGTGCTTATTGTTAATGTGGCTAAATAGGCGCTAGCTTTTACTACTATTAGGATATAATTGGAATTTGCTATTAATTTAATTAACTTGAGATTTAGTCTTCTGCTAATGAAGGCTTTTACTAACCGAAAGAGTAAATTTATGTTTATTTATTAGGTTGAATTTGTTATTGTGGAACTTATTAAATAACTGAGAGATTTGGTTGGCTTGATTGTTGGTTAGGATTTCTATTTTAATCAGAAATGAGCTCTTGGAGTTTCTCATTTTCTTATAGGATTTATTAAAATTTTTCTTTAAGTCTTGTGTAGTCCTTTGTTTCTATATTTTTGCTTGTTTCATTTACAATAGTCTTTACTCTACTGGCATATTACAAGCTACTGTTTGTTTCTTCTAAATTGTATTCGCTTGGACTTACATTAACAATCATCAAAGTTTTTGCCTAAAATTTTACATTTTATTAAGAAAAAAAATTTGAATAAATTGTAATTATTTATTTACATTTCCTCCAAGAGAATCTTTCATTAAATATGTAAGCTTGTTATTTCTGTAAGGGATATGTCTTTCTCCTCCGTTTTACTGCTAGTTTGTTAAAGCTGAAATGACGTCTCCTAAGGCAGTTAAACTTTTATTAATCGAATTAGCTTCTTTAACTTGATGAGGATTAGCTCCAGATTTCAGAATTCTTTCACTGCCTGCCAAATCAATCAGACTAATTTTACCATGAGTTGTCTAAAATGATTTTATTTTTTAATAAATGCTTAAATATTAAAAAAATAAATCATTACAGTTTCTGTTTAAGGATTGAATATGTTAATTAATATTGTGATAATCAAATGTGATCTGGAAGATTCAACATTCATATCTGTCTTGCTGATTTTTCTATTGAGAATTCCTTTCTAAATAATTTATTCTAATTCTTCTTTCTTGGTAACTTCAGCTATCTGTTTTTATTAAATAAAAAAGTTAACTTTGCATCTAAATTATTTAAAGAAAGAATACTGTTGCGTTTTGGACATATGTAGTATTAGTTATGTAATCTTCTTTTATTTCTAGTTTTTTTTGCATTATAGAATTAGGTGGAGCTAGTAAATCAATCAGATTGTCCATATATAATTCCATAATATATGCAGAGATGGTTACTTTGCAAGTCTTTTAGATTGGTTTCAAGAGATTAAACAGTTCGTTTACTGATCTAGGTGTAATACCTGGCATTTCTCTAGTTCCTTACATAGTAAAGGATTTACCTGAACCTGTTTGTCCGTAAGCGAAAATACAAACATTATAACCATCAACAGCACTTTGAATCAACTTTTTAGCATCATTGAAAATATCATCCTAGCGTGAGCCTTTAATTTAAATTTAATTGAATTTATTTCAATTTCATTTGAATTAAATTTTTAAATAAATTTTAAAAAAAAAACAAATGAAATTGCTTGTTTAAAAATAAATTTTAATTTTTTTACTGAATCCAAAACAAGAATCGAATTAAAATTTCTTAGGACCATTTTTTGCTTAGAGTTTGCAGTTCATAGCGTCTAAAACTTCAACGACATTTTGAGAGTTCATCTGGACTTCATTCTCATTGGGAGGTCTTACTCTACAAAAAACTCTAATTTTACCCTTCATATCTTCTACTATGTTATGCAAAATTTTTCTCTCTTTAGTTTCTTCATCAAGCTTATTAGTGAGTATATCAACAGTGTCCTTCAATTCTTTAATTTCTTCATCTTTCTTCTTTGTAATATCTTTTATTTCATTTTAAAGTTGCTCAATTGTTTCGCCTTTATTTCTTAATTCCTATTTATTAAAAAATTAAATTTAAATTTAAAATAACAAAACAAATGTTTTTTTTCTTTTTTAGAGAAAAATAAAGCCAAAAAATAAATAAAACAAAAATACCTTTTCATATTCAAGTGACTTAAATACTTGGTCTTTGAGTAGCTTATTTGCTTCTTCTAGATTAGAAACTTACAAACGCAGACCTTTGTTGAACTCACCCTCAGCTTATTTAGATGAATGGGAAGCTGCTGTAGAGACGAATCCTTGGTAATCACCAAGCTAAACGGAAATGGAATTTAATGAAGTTTAATTTTAATCTATGTAGAATGAGTTTTGGCTCATGTGACTTTAATTGAGGATTTGTTTTTATTTGTATTAAATGAGCTTTTAATGAGGAGCAGTAGCTCTTATTATTGAAAGATTATTTATCATTGAATTATCAGCACATCTAGAATCATCAGTGTTCTTAATCATAGAATAATCAGCCAAGTGACTAATGCTCATGTTTGAATCTTTTTTATCCTTGATATCTATCAACTTTTATCTGATTTCTAAGATTTCATTTTTTAAATTTTTATATTCAGTCAGTACGCTGCTGTATGGTTACCAGTCTTTGCCAACAGGATCTCTTTGGTTAGTTTGTTTAAATTCTTTTTTGAAATTTTCAAGAATAAGCTTTAACTCTTCTTGTTTTTCTCTCTTTTTTCTCAAATTGACCTTCAATTCTTTGAAAGTATTTTCATCTTGGTTAAACATTTAGCTGAAGGACTCTGAGTTCATACTTTGGGCTCTTCTGGCCTTGGATGTTATTTGGGTATCCATTTGCTATTGAGACTAATTGACTTCTTCTTATTGCATGATATTGGATTATTGCATAGAGAGCATCATAGATCCATTATTTACAATAGTGTCGTTTATATTAAGGCTTTGATTGCATTGTCCATCATTAATTATGCTTTGCTTTTAAGTTAAGAATCCATTCTTAAATGAGTGATTTATTAATAATTTTTTCCCTAAACTTTCTCTCTAAGTGCTATCTATGCTTTTGTGCTTCTTTTTTTGTAGTCTTTAATGATTTGTATTGCATATGATCATATCTGAAATATCATTTACGTCTTGAGTGTTTCCATCTATATTGCTTATCTAGGTAACCTCATGATTGTTTCCTCTTTAACTTACTTAGGTAGTGATTTTTTCATTTTCAAATTGCTCTTATCCAGTCTTATTTTATTCTTGCATTAAGTATTGGTGTTTGCTTTAATCTTAAATACTTTCGTCTCCAACTATCTTTTTTAATGCTTTTCTCTTTGACATTTCGTCACTGCATAATTCTTTGTCTGTTTAATTTTTTTATACACTATTTAGGCATTACTCTTAAATTTCCTTTGATGAAATCTTTTGTGTGTCTTAATGTTAAAATGATTGATTGTGGTTGTTGTTTATAGTTGATAGCAGACTTTGATCATTAACAGAAGTTTGGTGATTAAGAAGAGTAGGAGTTTGAGATTTCTTAATGCCTGAACCAGTTAGTGATCCATTAAGAGTTTACTTTTGCATTCTATCTTTTATCAAAATAGTTTGCTTTAGCTTTTTGATTTAATTGTTTTTATCTTCTAACTCAAGTTTAAGCTTATTTACTTCTTCTTCATATTTAATTGTATCTGTTTTATGTTGATTGTGTTCTCCATTTAAATACTGAGATTAATTTTTATTATTTTGATTTAGATCATCAGATTTTACCTGGAATCTCTCCAAAGTGTCATTTTTCAAAGCTAATTCCTCTTATAATTTTTATAACAAATTCGTTTAATCGAGACGATCCTTATCAAATTGTGTTATAATTGATTCCTTTTCCTTAAGCTATTTAGCTATTTTTTCAATTTGGGCATTTAGCAAGCTATTTGTACTTTCCAAACTAGATATTTTAGAATTCAATTCTAAAGATGTTTATTTTATCCTTTCTATCTCAGACTCAGCTTTGATAAGTTCTTATTTACAATTATCGAATTCACTTAAAATTTAAACATTTTCTTCAGATTTTTTCTAGTTTATTTTCTCTAAATCCTCTATTTTCAGCTTTAAAACAGTCAATTCCTAATTAAATTTATTTTCCGAGAGCTTTTTTTCCTCCAAAAATATTTCACATTTGTTCTCTAATTCTAAATTAATTTCCTCTAGCCTTTATATTTCCTCACTAAATTATTTTCTAATAAATTCCTTTTCTACATTTTCTATGATAAAATCTAACGAATATTTAACTTCGATATGCTTTTTCACAAATTCAATCTCCTAATATTAAAAAATAAAATATTTTTCATTAATCCTAAACCGTTTAAAATCAATTAATTCAAATTTAATCTGAAAAACTTCTCTAAATTCAAAATTATTTTGAATTTCAATATTTCTTTTAAATTTTTGATCGTTTAATTTTATTTTTTTTGCTTGCTTGTTTTATATTTATTATTTAGTTGTTGTTTCTTTGTAAGTTTATAAGCTAGATTATGTTTCTGCATATTTATAATTCGCCTTGCTTTAAATTTAAAACATTTTTATATCATTACCTCTTCCTTTTTTTATAAATTTGACATTAATACATTAAACTCTTCCTCTCTATTTGGCTAAGCACCTTCGCATGATAGCAAATGCTCATCAAATTTCTCTTTGATATCCTGAGACTCTTAACGATACTATTCACATTCTTATAATACCTTACTAAACTCTACTTTATACAATTCTATTTTTTCAAATGCTATCTGCTTTAAATACTACAAGTTCCTTTCTTATAAATTTTGAAAAGTATTCTCTTACTCTTCAGCTATTTCAGCTAATTAATCTAAAACATATTAGCTTCTCTTATTTAAATAAGTAATTTCGTCTTCATTCGTTACTTGATGGCTCTGCAACTTTAAATATAAAAGAATTTTAAAACAAAATCATTTTAATTCAATTGCTTCTTTGCTCTCTCAATTATTTTGTTGAGTTTTCTAAAAAAAAACACTTTTTTTCCTTATTGAAAAACAATTATCAAACTACCACTGCAATTTACTTTTAATACTAAAGTTTTTTGACAAATTACCTGCTTGTTAAAGGTCTTTGTAGTGAGGCAATTATTTTTTTATGTCAAGGAATGTGTTCTTCCACCTAAACTATTGGAATAATTCATAGAATAATCCACTGCAGATTTAGAGGCTAACATCAATCCTTCCTATAAACTTTAAATAAGACTATCAGTTGATAATTCATGTTCACTACTCTCAGACTAACTAATTTATGAGCTGCTCGAGTTGTGTTGCTGCGATAAAAATTAGTCCATTGGCATAGGATCCTCTGAATCAATTATATTAAAAGACTGATGATTGCCTGGACTGTAGTTTTAATATTACTCATGAAAATTTTAATTGCTTGGGTGTGAAAGCTAATTGAACATATGATTTGAGTGCTATTAATTTTGCTATTGCTGTTAAATTGGAATAGTGGGAATCTAATTGTCAGCCATATCGTTTCCCAGAAAATTTAAATTTAAATTCATATTCTTATGTTTATTAATATTTTAGATAAAATAATTTTATTTGAGGATTTCTATTAGTTCGGCTCAAAGCGTTTGTAAAAGCAAATGTAAGCCTCTTTATTTGTAAATTATGTTTTCTTCTTGTTATTAATACGAGCCTAAAAAAATTAATATTAACAATATCAAAAGAATATATTAATTTTTTAAGTAATTCTTTTTACCTGTATTTTGTTAATTCAATTTCTTACTAGTTAATATGAAATCCTTGGTATTCTTAATTGAATCCTTCATACTCTATCAATTCTAACTCTATAATTATTGTTAATGATAAACCAAGCAAACAAAAAAAAAACATGCTAATAAGCAAGTAAGACAAGCAAAATAACAAACAAGCAAGCATATTTTAACTAAGAGATAATGTGAGCTTATAAAATTAATTATATTTCGAATAATATTTAACAATTAACTACTTTTTTGTTATTAATTGATTTTAAATTCAAATGGATCTCTCAATGTTTCATTCCTCTTTTTTGAATTGAATAGTTGTTATTTATCACAAACATCAAAAATAAATCTGCAAACGAATCCATTATTTGTTTATTTTTTTATTTATTTATTTATTTTGAACATATTTAGAGTTTATATCTATTCCAAAAAATTTAACAGATACATTTATTTATAATAAAATAGATATTCATTTAATTTAACAAATTTAATTTTTGCTTGCAATAAATTTATTTTACTTAAATCATTTTAATTAAAATTCAGAAACCAAGAAATACTTATGAAAATTTAGTATTGGAATAAATTTTTATGTAAAAATAATTAAATAATATAAAGTATCTAAAGACATCAAAAATTCATTAATTATTAAGACCTTTAGTGTAAATACTTTCAGATATATCAATTAGGCAATTTGCCCGAGTTGGTTAAGGGGGACGACTTAAGATCGCCTGGATGTAATCCGCGTGAGTTCGAATCTCACAGTTGCCAATATTTTTATATTTTTATTATTTTGTTGATATTTATTGTAATATTTGTTAAAAAAAGGGAAATTCTTTCTAAGAAATATAGTAATATTTATTTAATTGAAATCGATATCCTTTATTTTTGCAGAAAATAAATATTAAAAAACAAAATAAGGGAAAATCAATTTTAGTAATTAAAAAAGAAAATAAGCAAGCAAAAGAAGAAATTACTAATTATAAAGCCTTTTTGATATAAATCAAATATTATTGCAACTGAAAGATAAAGTTTATTAAATTTTTGGATATAGGAGTTTAAATTCAAGAAGTGATTTCAAGAAAAAAATTAGATTTCATTTATTGAAAAAAGCATATAAATATATAAATTTAATTCAGCCTATTTAAATAGTTGATTAAAATTTATTAATTTGCAAATAATTTTTATTTATTAAAATTTTTCAATAAAAAGAAATAAAAATGTACATCTATATTTACTACAATTAAATAAATTCGTAAATTTAATTAATAAAAAAATATTTAAATACACTCTAAAAATAAAGAAAAAAGAAAAAATTTGTAAATTTTGGAATTGATTATGACTTTCACTTGAAATTTTTAGATTTAAATAAATCTTTAAAAAAGAGCCTTATTAAATCAGAACTTAATGTGTTTTATTCTAATTATCAATGCATTGCCTTCTATAATTAATTTTCATAATCAACATATAATTTATATAAAACTGTCCTATATATATTTAATAATAAATGACAACAAGTAAAAATATGAATTAAATTTAACTCAAATTCTTTATTTGATATGTATATGAGAATAATTCATACCAATGATATAATTTCACAAATCGAATTATAAATTTAATTCACTTCCATCTTTATTTATAATAAAAGGATTATTTATCATATCTATTATCTTGAATTTGTAGGACTCACTTTTCTTAATACCTACAATTATCAATTTATCAACAATTATTTCTTGGAAATTTGTAGAAGCTGCAGCCTAATTCACTTTGATTTCTATTTCCATTTCGGTTCCAGATTTTGAATTAACTTTTGCAGATAAATTAGCAACACAGTTTTGTTGTTCAGTACAATTTTAAATTATATTATCATCTTCGTTATAATTATTAATGGTTAAAATAGATCCACTAGATTCGTTATTTTCGTCAAGAGCAATTAATAAAGTAAATCTATTATCAAGGAATCTACTTCTTAGAGTATTTTTTCTATCTTGTAAATGTAAAATTTTACCCGATTTGATATACATAGGAACAACAGCATCAAAAGGTACTTAGAAGCAGTGATCACCTCCTTAAATAGGACTATAATTATAAAAATCAAAGAAAAGGCTATTTTCAGGGATATAAACGCAATGCTTAGTTTTTTGAGTAAATGTGTTTCCACTATATACAACAGGAGAAGCTAATAAGTAATCCCCAAGCATGAATTGGAACTAATGTTAATATGATTATTCGTCGCCAGGGAATTCCCAGAAAAGAGGTCTAAAAATTGTTCCCAAGCCATTACCCTTAACAAACAGATGATAATAAAACTTTAATAGTTGGTATCTAAATTTATTTTAAAATATTTTTTTATGTTTAATTTTTAAAAATATTTGTAGATTTTTATATCAAATTATCATTAAAAAATTTACCTAACATTTAGAGTTTTAATTGTTGATGAAAGGACATATGGATGCTTAGGGAATGCATACGGTTCTTGAGGTGAATATTTATCTCCATTATGATTTCTGGAGAAAGGATAAAGGGAACCTAATTACTACCATCTAGCACAAAGTTCAGCTGTAGCATCGAGAGCCAAACCACAAATGTCATCTCCAACAAAAGGAATACCATACATTTAGAAATTCATAATTGAAGGTATGCTCAAACGTAAATATTCCCAAGTTGAAAAAGCATCTCCATTCCAATGTTAAACATATCTTATTTTAATTATTTAATTATATTTTAAATGAAATTTTCTTTAACTGATAGATTTATTTATTTACCTTCCACTTCCGAACATGGACGATCTAGAAAGAATAAAAGTGAGTTTTTTTCCAAGTCTTTTTGCTGCTTTGTAAGTTGCGAGACCTTCACCAAAACCATTAATATTATGCATGTCATATTAAGTTATAGTGTAATTTTTAGTCGCATTTACTAATACAGCTTAATCTCCACTGTAGTGTATAGCATCCAAAGAGAGAGTTCTATGATCCAACCTTCTCACCTCTTTATATTTAATAGTAAATTTTAATTTCTATATTAAAATTTTTTAGTTTACCTAAAGGATTAAAAGGAAGATTAGGCTTTTCGCTTGTAAAGAAAGTTTTGATTTCATTAACTAGAGTGCTTTCATCCTTTCCAACTTCTCCTGTAACAAAATTAGAATATTCGTTCATATCTATCCAAATACCATCTTATTAAAGCCCATATTTTGTTAAATTGACAAACCCTTCATACCAATATTCAGTGGAATTTGGGTGATTGAAATCTGGGAAGTAAGTTTTTCCTGGCCATACAGTTCCTATGATAGGCTCTTTTGTTTTAGCACTCTATATAAAAATATTCATTTCTTGTCCTTTAATTGCTCCCTCTTCTTCTATTGAAATGCCAACATCAATAATACTGCTCCAGTGAACACCTTGTGGGTTTGATCTATGAAAAATAAATATTGTGAGATTTTAAGAATTACCTTTTATAAATTATTTGTTATTCTTACAAGTTATAAATTGTTTGCATCTAAGTTAGATTAAATCTTTCAGTATCGATTGTGAAATCTTAATACTTATACATGTAATCAATATCGGACCACAAAGAATCAATAGGTATTTATAAAGAATTGTACTTATCCCACACTTCCATGAGCTAATCAGATGATTTATATCCCCATCTGCATTAATGAAAACCTAATAATTTAATGAAAAACAAAATCAAACATTTATTTAATAATTATTTTTATAGTAAATTCTATGGTATATACTTCGTTTGTTATAAAAGAAATATTATTGAATAGATATCAGTATTAAGTATCTAGTCATTACTTAATTATGACACTTAATTAAGATTGATATTATAAAAAATTGATTTATCAATTCAAGCTTATTTAATCAATTTTCTCTATCTGCAATAGTCCAAAATGACGATAATGACGAAAGTAGTTAAAATGACGAAACTGACCAAACAAAAAAATTATTAAAAATTGGTTTCTAAATTAAATTATTAATTTAAATCTGATTTTTATATTTATGAAATGGTTAAATTTCACCATTTTCAAAAATGAGCTGCTGAAAGATTTAAATGTTTACTATACCTTCTATAATATTCAATAAACATATCCAATAAATTTAATATTCATTCATCTGATTAATTCTTTTAAGATTGTAAGGATTTATTTCTTTTTTTAATTTTTGATTATTGACTTATAACTAAATATCTTACTTTCCATAAATTAAAAACGCAAATTAATTGCGAAATATTATTGAAATATTATAAAAATTAACTTATTTGTTGTGATTATCTAAATTTAATCTTATAAGAATCTCTTTGATATTAAATATACCTTAAACCCAAAAAGGATGAAGTATCCAACCATTTACATAGTTGTGGTAAAGTTTAATTGCATTTTCAGGGTTTGAGTCACCAAGGAAGAATTTGAAATCTAAATTTCCACCAATCGTTTTATAAGTCAAATATTAGTTTTATTTGTAATCAACTTATAGACCATAAGTGTTTCTGAAAAGAGTAACGTGGAAATTATTTTCAATAACTTCTCTTCTTAAGTACATAGGATGATATCCGTAAATTGATTTTCCAGGAGTTCCGTTATCAATCCACATGGCATCAGCATTCCAGAAAGAGTATCTGCCTGATTTAATTTAAAAATCTGTTCTTCTATCGCCAAGACCAAAGATCATTTCTTCATTCATTTCTGTTGAAATTTCTAAGTATTTATCTGTGAATAAAATAGGACGATCTTTTGTTGAAAAAATAGTTTATCCTGAAGATTTTCTAAACAATTCAAAGTAGAATTGTTCTCCTACTTGACTTACCTTGTAATCAAATATTCTTTCTAATTTACTTTCTTATCCCTGCTCTTTAGTAAAAGGGAAAGGCTCATTATAAGGTAACTAAAATCTAGAATCTTCAATATCTGTAATTTTAAATTGGCATTCATTCTTACCATCTACTTTGAAAATTACTTTTAGTTCTCTTATCACAGGAGAAAGAGGTTCTTCTTATTCCTTTTTACCAGGCTTCCAAGAAAGAAACCCAACGAAACCACCATCTTGAGTTTTATTCACGTCTTGTTTTAAAACATAAAAGCCTGCATGCTTTCTAAACTTATCAATTCTATTAGCCTCATGTTGAATGTAAAGTTAGTGAATTCCATAAACAGAAATCACAACAGCCACTACAATCCCAATTGCCGTTAGTATCTTAGACTTTTCTATCATTAAAATTAAGCGAATTTTGTTTTGCTTTTGCTTTTTCTTTTAATTTAATTATTTACTTTAAATAATAACTTATATTTATAAAAAACCTTTTCCACAAACGATGAATTATAAATTTAGAATAATTGTTCAATAGGCATCCAGAAAAAGATGCTTTTAATTACATTCTTTATTTTTAAAGTAATTTTTATAATTATCACATCATTTTTGTTACTTATTTAAAATTTAATACTCTAAGTTTACAAAATCAACAAAATCTTACACTTTTCACTCCACATAAAAAATTAATTATCTTAGTAACTATATTCTAATCAATTTTGATTTTCTTTTTATTTTCTTTAAAATTTAATTTTTGGTGTATTAGATTATTTTTTGATATTCATTAAAACCTATTTATTTTTTATAAGTATAAAATGAGTAAAAAAACCTAAATTTTTTAAAATAAATATTAATTTCAAATTAAAAAAAATATAAATATAGAAAGTACTAATATATTTAACCCTAAATTTTTTTATTTACTAAGTATTTATTGATTTTTTTTATTTGAAATTTTTTTATAAATTCATTTTTATTTTATTAATGAATGCATGATGAAATTATTTATTTGTTTTTTGTTAGAAAAATTAAATTTTAATTTATTTTTAACAAATTTAGATTGTTAT